GAGCTGCGATGTGAGTGCGCGCCAATGGATACCCGCTCCTCGGTCAAAGCTTGGCAAAAGCCCGCTCATCTCGATGAAGCCACGCGCCTGGTGGCGCTCGTTCGAGGGCGCTTTCCTCGCGAAGACCTTCCTGAGCACCGAGAAGAGATCCGGCAGAAATTCTTGAACGAGAAGCCAATCCTCAACTTCCCCTTTCTCCCACCGCCCGTCGCTGAAGCCGACTCAGACTCGGAGGGCGTCATCGAGAGCGCAGAGCCTCACTCCCGTCCCAAATGCGCAACGCAACCGCTGAATGTCGACCTGGGCCCGACAATGCAGGCCGGGCAACGAAACATGGCTGTCCCCCGCCGCGCCAAGGTCGACCGGTTCTGCTTCAAGGCCATGCTGGCCGACAAGGCACTGCAAAGCTGCCGCAATGCCCACCAACCCGACACCCGGGCTCCAAGATCAGCCAAAGCAGTCTTCCAAGGCGAGCTCAAGACGAGCCCCATCTCAATCAAGCACGACACTTCAGAACCCTTGGCACTTGCTGACGACATGGACCGAGCCATCGATCGCCTTGATGCCGTGCACACGCGTGTCATCGGGCATTTGACAAAGCTCGAAGATGTACGCCTCCTCGGCTTTGAAAGGGAAGGCGTCAAGGAACTGCGCGCTGCCGTACAGGCAGAGGTCAACCTCAATGCCAAACGTGGCCGCCGCTCAAACAGTCTCCCCTCTTACTCCCTCGAATCTTACATGGCTGCGTATGGCCTGCATCCTCAGTACAAAACCATGTCAAGCAAACCCAAGAGCGTTCATCAGTTGCTCGCGGATATCTAAGCCCAACTCGAGCTCCACACACACACACACGCGCGCGCGCGCGCTCGCACCTTTTTGACTGACAGCTTCGCAACATTTTTCCTTTCGGTCAAGACCAAGGCATCTTCTGACTGCCTTCGCATCATTAACAGCCCAGCCCGTCGGGACTTGCATTCGCCGCACACGGGTGAATCGATTTTCCATTGTGTTTGTGCATCATCACTCCGATGTGTTCCCAAGTGTCAATTAAAAAATAAACTTTTCAAACTCTTGTCTTTGCCTCTGCGCATTCATCGCCGTGGGAACGTGAGGGGCATGCTTGGAGCATTGACACCCCGACCCGCGGTGAGGAAGCTCTCTCAATCATGTGCCGCTGCAGGTATCAGGCGATGCAAGTACACCATGCCTCGCGCGCCACTCAACAGATTGAGGCCCACGCATAATCCGCCATCTCCCTGCGCCTGCTTGGTACAACCATAGTCGCCGTCACAAGCAAGTGAAGCATGCAGGGCGCGCGTGAGACAAGCAGGATAAGCATACGGCATGAGCACAATGTTAGTGTGAATGGCTTGCATTCTCCCGTGCATTGGCACCGACTGGCAAACAAAACGTACATCCTGCAATAGCACAATGAAATCATCCTTTTTCATACTCAGATATCCATCGTGCTTGTCCTCAATGTCCTTGAGAGCCTGGCAGGTGGCGACAAAGCCATGAATTAGGCAACTCGAAGCACGGCGACTCACTCAAAGCACGGCTTCAAAATGCTATCAACAACAGCCACCACACCTTGAAGCGCATGTGCAAGGGCTCCGCACGCCATCGAGCGCGTGCTTCGTCGTAATCCATCCCCCGTGATGCCTCGGCCTGCGCGCGCAGCTTGGCCCGCAAGCTCCGCCTGCCGTCGTCGAGCCTCGGATTTACTTCCAGATGTACTCAGACGCCGCCGCTCGCCTTTCGGGCTGACAGACTCTTCTGGCGGCTGGGATGTTTTCGCTCCTTCCGCCTTGCGCATATGTTCTTGGCCTCCTCAGCTGCCTGTCGAAGAGCTTTCTCCTGCTGTTTTTGGCGTCGGCGATCCTCTAGGCTCGCATGCACCAGAAAGGAAGACAAAGGTCAGCCCTGCATCAAGCCCAGAATCTGAATGAGCTCCTAAACATGCATGAGCACGGCCCACTCCTTGCCTTTGGCATCCTGTTGGGCCAGCCGACGCTGCTCGGCCTCCTCACGAGCCAACCTAGACCAATATAGGTTGCTTGTTAGACCAGACGGCATCGCCATACTACGTTTGCTTGCAGAGAGGCAACTGTGTGCTCTCCTACTTTTGAACTTGTTCCTTTTGCTGCCGAGCCAGCTCCTTTTGCCGCCGCCGCTTTTCTTTGTTTTCTTCCTTCAGAGCCATTTTCAGCGGGCCGAGATCTCCTTGAAGCAAGGACTGTGGAGAATCAAAACGTCTGCTTGTCAGAGAGCCCAGAGCCAATGGGCCACATGCTGGAAAATGCAAATGCAGGCGAGGCAACATACCAAGCGAATGCTTTCGGGCGTGAGTGAGGCCGTTTTCAAGTTGCTGTCAAAGAGACCGCGTCCCGGTTTTAGCGTTCCGGGCATGCTCTGCGAGGCTGATCGCTGCTATCCATTGGTGCCAGCATTGATGAAAGTGACCCAATGAGCAAGTGAGGCATTTCCAACTCGGACGACCCCCCTCCCAACCCCTCAAAAGCTGGCAAGAAGTGAAACCAAAAGAAGCAGGAAACAGAGCCCACCGTAACAGTGTGATCACTTGGCAGTGGATCATAGACACCCTATCGGCAAAATGACGTGAAATGGTGCTAGTACAGCTTGCGTGAGGCGCAAAAGGTGGCAGCTGTGGCATCAGAGCCGTACCGTGGCCAGCTCGGAGGGCAGCGTCTCGTAATGCCCCTGAGCCAGATGGTTGCACGCAATTTATAAGCCAAGGCATGCGCAGCGAAGCAAGGCTCAGCGGAGGCCATGTGGGCCGCTTGTTGACATACTTGAGTCATGCCGGCGGGAAGTTGATCGTATAGGCTCTGCTGAGGCCGTGACTGTGACTGTGAACCAAGCGGTGAGGAGTGTAGCGCGCATGAGGAAATAGGTCATGTGTCGCTTCCAGACACGGTGCCCGGAGGAAGGCTTCATGTCTTGAGCTTTTGCGCTGGCAACATCAACAGTTTGCTGGGTGCATACAGAGTTGCGCGATCATCATGTACCTCGTCTTCTGTGGGAAAGCCATATGCCGTATCATCTTCGCGGGCTCCTGGAAACAGCGGAGGCGAATCAGCATCCAAGGGCGACAGGACTCTTGATCAAATCTGCCTGCCTAAAGACCGGGAGGAGCGCAATGCAGCGTAGGGGCCACGAACTCACGAAGGTCGCCGATGGCGAGATAGAGATCCTCGGCTTTGTTGGAGGCGCTGCGGATCTCCAAATATAATGGCTCTCGCGAAGTGTGCAGTACCCGTGCCTGGGTATTGCAGACAATGCCATATGGGTGCAACATGAGAGACAGTGCGGTCGCAACTGGTGCGGCTGGCAGTGCAGTGAAAAGGCTCGATGGGCCGACCTGCTCGGCTGTCATGTATCCACCGTCGACTGCTGCTTGCCCGATCGACTGAGAAGCAAGGTTTAAAGTGGAAGGTGAGCATCATGGCTGGACCGGGGGAGGTGTGAGCAGGCATCTGACCTGAAGTGTTGAGGCCTCAATGTAAATGCCCTCGTCACGCGGTGCGTTGAAGAGTTTCTAATTTAACATAAGCATCTGAGCTGTTTGACGAGCAGCAATGCAGTTTGACAGCTTTGCAGGCCAATCTGCAACTTGAAGGCTCTGTGGCGTGCCTTGGACACGGTGCTCATGGGGCAGCTGTCGGCACGATCAAACAAACCTTGGCCTCTTCTTTGCGCAGGTGTCCGGAGCGGAAAGCAGCTCGAGCCATGGATTGAATGGCGTCCAGAGTCAAATAGGCACCTTCACTCCCAGCCTGACGAGCTTCCTGCGTCCCCGCCATCACGACGGGAGGGGGGGGGGCAAAATAACATGGCGAGGTGAGGCCACCGCGTATGGCCTCGCGCCGAGGCGTCAGTCTCCGCACAAGCAGCTCAACGCACCTTGATGGACATGCATTGCATTTGTACCGCCCCCTGCGCCAGCGCCTGAGCCGTGGCAATGGTAATGTACTCGTCCGAATCAAAAGCCGGTGGCCGTCGCCCACTCGACGACGCCATGGTTGATGACGGCCAATACGAGCAACACCAACAACAACAACAACCCCCCGGGCACCCACCGCCCTATACAGAGCTGCGCTACGCCTCTTTGACAATGTCCTTGGTCACCACACAGCAACAGCCCAGCTCATCTATTTTATCTGACAATCTGCACCACACACACTCTCGTTCTCGCTCTCTCTCTCTCTCTCTCTCTCTCTCTCTCTCTCTTTCTCTCTCTCGCTCGCTCGCCTCTCTCTCTCTCTCTCTCA